CGATCCCAATACGAAGTTCGCGAACATCAGGGATATCCATCGGGCTCAAATCGAAGCGGGTGAAAAGGAGGTTATCACGGCTGAATCCAGCGACTCTGAATGCCCTAGTGAGGCTGGCAGCTGTATTGTAGTGGGTGTGGTTGAGGATCAATAGTTAATAGTAATGAGGAGGTTGGGTTGTGATCCCATCGTTTTTGTGGTGCCAGAAACAGGGGGGTGCCAGGAAGTGGGTATGTTGACTTAGCGACATGCCTACTCACGTTACGCGTATTCTCACTTCAAGCCAGTCATCCAAAGACTGTAATCACGATTTGTAAAACTGACAGTCTGATAGTAAGCTACCACATATTGATATACCTGAATTCTATTCGAATCCTGGCAGCATAGAAGTCATCCGTGTTGATTTTTCACCAGAACCACTAAAGACACTGATAAGAAGAATCGCATCCGCAAGTTTAATAGTCTCCGGTGCATTGCAGTTTTAGCTCTTGTTTCAATTCGTCACTCACGAAGGAAGGTCACTTTCACGACAAACATAGCATCACTAGCCTGCGCAGATGTTGTCAATATAAGAAGGTTTTGTTTCAAGGTCATTCTGTCAGAGGCTGATGTCGGATGACATCTGACGGAGTTAAGGCGGCCGGGGACATTGGGGGAGTATGGGGACAACGTAGGACTGAAAATCGTTTCCAAGTATTCTCGCAATGAAGGCTGATGCACCGGGGTTTATTTTCTGATATGAGTATGAGTCTTTTGGGTACATTAAGACACATGTGGCCCCGGACAACTTATTATTGTGGGCTATCCCACTTACACATGAGTCGACATGGTCCCATATGTGGCGGAGTTGATCTCCACAAGAGGAACGAAATTAACACCAACTTGCTTCTGAGGAACCAGATGGTTTTACGTTAAATCTCGTTCTGAGATAATCGCTTTCAATGAGAAAACGGCAAATTAAGTGTTCAAAAAGGCACATCCCCAGCTGCAATTATGTGCGCACGCAAAACCTCAATTCATCAAGCAAATCAACTCAACCCACGCCAAGCCACGAAGCCTGATGATTTGCTGAATGACTCCGTCTGTCAAAGGGGCCCGAATATTTGGTCCTGTCATGTATGCTCTGCTGATCGGCGCGGAGTATGGTAGGAGAGTGGGAGTCGGGGCACAGTACCAGCCCCCAGGGTACCCCGAGTCCTTGAACCTGGGGGAGACGATCCTTATTTCCCCGCGAGAACCCTTACCCAGCGCCCTCCCCGGATGATATTAAAGTCGTCGCATTGCATCTCCACCACTTGACCCAGCTACTCATTCGCATGACATCCTACCATAGAGCGTTAGGTACACTGCAAAAGAGATGACAACTGCCAAGACTCAGAATACGAGATTACAGGGAAGAAATGCCGGTCAAGGATCGCGATTCTCCAGAGTCCAGGCTGTGGCGGGCGGGTCAGATGCAATTGATATTAATACCCCATTGAGTAAGGATCCCGTTCGCCAAGAGGTGTGAGTCTAGACGACGAAGCTTGTCGCTCTGATCAGTGATCACCCTTGCAGTGATGACCTCAATTGATGTACATTCGGCTTCAAATCACAATGCCAACTTGGAAAGTTACTTTCAGATGCATCTTCTTTATTGTCCTATCAACTATATATGCCCAAAATGACACCTACAAATCTCAAAAATGGGAGAGCCAAGGTCCAAAACCCAAGGCAGCGAAGTCTTATAAACATCCTCATTCTATCGTAAGAAACAGCGCTCCCCCGCTCATCTCTGATGAGGGAATCCCAACTCCTTCATGTACAAAGGTGAGCGAGCTGCGAAACGCTCTTGGCCGTCGGAAAGGGCGGAACGTCTTCTCGCCCTCCGCGGCTGGCTTTCGGTCGGTTTGACGAAATTTGCCGGTTCTTGACGAGGAACCGCTTACGCGCCGTTGCCGTTGTAGGCAACCAGGTTGGGGGAGCTGTTGAGGGTACCGGTGATCTTGCCAGAGGTACCAAGGGCCTTGATGCGGGCAACGATGGAGGCGGGGGTGCTGAGGCCCTCGACGGACTGGAGGTAGTTGACGAGGCCGGCGACGTGGGGGGAGGCCATGGAGGTACCGGAGATGGTGTTGGTGGCGGTGGTGGAGGTGTACCAAGTGGACAGGATGGAGCTGCCGGGGGCGAAGATGTCCAGGGAAGTTCCGTAGTTGGAGTAGGAAGCAATGGCCCAGGTGCTGGTGATGGCACCGACGGTGATGGCGTTGGCAGCGTTGGCGGGGGAGACGTTGGCGGCGTTCTGGGCCTCGTTACCGGCGGCGACGACGGTGGTGACGCCGGAGTTGTAGGCGGCGTTGATGGCGGTGGTCCAGGCGGTGGAAGCGGGGCCGCCGAGGGACATGTTGACTTACCTGACAATGTGGAACATGCCATCGACGGCCTGGATATGAGACAAGAAAGCATTTCCAAGTCCCGCTCCCGTCGAAGCACCCTTGATCAAGCCAGCAATGTCGGTGACCTGCAGATACGCGGGGTACATGGAAGGCGGCTTCCAGAGGTCACACAAAAAGTCCTACACACACAATGCCCACGTTTCAGCCACATATTCAATTAAGGTAGGTGACCCTTTTTAATAGGCAATCTTTTCGTATCTCGACTCTCAACTTACATATCGAGCGTCGGGAACAGCACATCTCGCCTCGTTGGGCTCAATCGTACAAAAGGGGTAATTCTCCGCAGCGGCGCTCTGCTCGGTCAAGAGGTTGAACAGACTCGACTTGCCCACGTTGGGCAGGCCGACGCACCCCATCTTGAGGTTCTTGCTGACCCTGCCAAACGCCACGACATTGTCCTTGACAACTTCAATCTTTTTCGGAGGCATGGCGACTAATTTGACGGGGCTGACTGGACTTGATCAAAACAAAACCGAAGAAAATGAAATTTCTACCAGAATTCTTCCCTTTTGAGAGTTGTAAAAAGACAGATTCTGCGGGCAAACTTTTTGTAAAATGGCCTGATTATTCCAGTTTAGGCCCACTTAAGAACAAGGGTTAAGGAAGATGCAGTTTTAGGGGTCCTTTTCTGGAAGGCGGCTCGTGCGGAATCGGCGTCTGGGGAAAATGACCAAAATAACCGCCCCACGTGCTGCTCTAAGCCCTTTAAGCTTGACAGTGAACCTGTACAGGGCTTCTCTGTTCAAACGTTGAAACACCGGCGTTTTTTTGAATGATGACAAGCTACATAACAATAAGTTTTGGACCATTCACAATTATCGACGGTAAGAGGTGACCTAGACAAGTAGCTCTATTCTACGCGTTCAAATGGTGTCGTTATCACCACCATCGTGAAGCAGAAGCCGGAGATATGGCAAATCTCAAGCACTTCAAGATAAGGCAAAAGCCGCAATGGATATGTCAGAGAAACTATGTTTCACACAGGAGAGTTGCGCCATTGATACTCGAGACTTTATTGAGCCATACGGCTGAAGGAACAATACATTCTGTCAAGTTCATTTGGAAGCTTCCGTGTCCATCTTGGTTCGCTGTTCATCAAAACCCGTCACTCATGACGCCATCCAATCCTGAAAATCATTACGTTCCCGCTCAAAGCTGCGCTCATAGTTCCCAATGCCAGCCCGCTGTTTCATGTCATAAATATGTGGTCCATTTGGTTCTGTTGTCTCCTGTTGCGAAATCATTACATCTCCTTCAAGAAATCATCAAACTCGGTCTTGGTCTTCATGTGTTGTGGTAGCAACATCTCCTCGAGTGCAGAGGCGATGTTATGGAGAGCATCAAGTTGTTCCTGTTCAACCAACATGTAGATATAATGGTCCTTAATCATCTCCTCAGTCCAACGCTGATGACTATTCGGGTCGGATATGAGGTCGCAGATCTGCTTCAGTCGCGCTGCGTAGTCCCGCAGCATCGTGGGGTCCAGATTGCTGAACTCGGCATGGGACAGCAACCCAATATGAGCTCTACCAGAGTCACTCTCGAGCCATTCCGAGCCGTTGTTGGTCAGGGCGAGGGACGCGGCGTTGACAGTAGACCTCAGGCACTGAACAACAGCTACAGCAGTCTCGGAGGCAGTCTGGGGAAGGAAGTGGTGGCTGATAGCGAGGACATGAATCGTATTTTGAACTTGGTCCTTGAGTGTGTACAGAGCGTCTCGAACTTGGGCAAGACGAGACGTGGGACGTGTCGGTATGCGGCCTGAACGTCCAGGGCTGTTGGCGGAATCTTCCGTGTTTTCTACCGGAAATTGCATATCCTGTGTCCGGTAGGTGTTGAAGTCGCTTGATAACAGTTAGTGACGAGGACGACGATGCCGGGAGACGATGACTTACGCTTGTATAATGGGCAGAAACTCTTGCATCTGCTTGTCCTGCTTGTCCAGTGCAGCAGCATACTTGTTCAAGCTCGCACGGATCCTTGCCTCTTCGCTTGCCGGATGCTGCGGCCAGGCTCTGGCTTTTCTCCGAAGCCTTGCAAGAACAGTACGCAAAGAATCCATCCAGAGCGTGACACTGGGATCGAGGGGAATTTCCTTCTCAACATTCGCGTCCCACTGAGATGCATAATCAGCGAGTATGGGACGAAGATCATTGATGTTCGCCATGAGGGCTTGACAACTGTTGGCGATAGCCGGCGCCTTGTCAAAGCCAGTCAACTCCTTGCTGGTCCGATTGAATGTGTCAAGGAGGTATTCGCCAAGAGACTCTAGCTTCTGGCTGATGATGGTAGGATTCATCGAGGAGTCGTCCAAGTCCAGGGTTTCGCCCAAGGTGCCTTCTGGTTTACTCGATGACTCAGCCTCGTCGGCGTCCTCGTTGCCCATTGTTAGGCGGCCGATATCTCGATTCAGCCCCTCGATTTCCTTGCCGTTGCTTGGTTTCAGTGGCGGCGTTGGAGTTTGCTGCTTAGTCTGGTATGAATTCCAGATTGGCTGAATGGCCTCATTGGGTAGGAGGGAGTTCCCAAGTAAATCTAGGAGGTCTCGCCTTGGTGGCTGATCGCTGCTTGCTGCTGCTGTTGAACTACAGGCTTGCTTGGCAGAAGTCAGGCGAGAGGAGCTCGCGTCTTCAGTCGCCAAAGGACCGGCAGCGGCATTCTTTAGCGTTCCAACAGTCGAAGATGGCTTGCTGGCTGTGGTCGTCGTTGCGAGAGGGGCACTACCGTCCTCGTCATCGGATGAGAGTGACACGACAGAGTAGTCGTCGGCAATCTCCTCCCACTCTTCCAACCCCTGCTTGGCTGGGCTTTGGGGTCCGGCCATCATGTATTCGGGATCGTATTAGGATCGGCTTGTCTTGCTAGCGAATCGAACGTAGAGAGTAATGGTATCGGTCAGCTACAAAATGTGCTTCAGAATGTTAGCAACTGATAAACAGGACGGCGAGATGAGACATTGAGGGAAGTGGCACTTTAACTACCTAATACTTGACGACAAGAGTATTGAGACGGTGCGCATGCATACAAGCTATGTCGTGTTCGTAAAAAAGAGAGGTTGACGGAAGCAGAATACTGTTACTAATGCCGGTGAGACGATGCGAGACGTGGAGGTGACGCGGATGGGGCTGCCGGATAGAGCCTCAGGTAGGTGCAGCCTGATGCCGGCGGCTTGCGAAAGGCAGGGCAGATAAGGCAATCGTCGGGCCTCAGGTTGATGGTTATTGCGCTGCTGTTGATGCTGTAAGATGACAACCGCCCTCAATCGTTGCTGCGTCCAGGCGAGAGGAATGAAGCGGTTAGACAGTTGACCTTACTCCGTAGTTACCTCAGGTTGGCACCTTGGGTGACTCGTCAGGAGAGGTTGATTGCTGAGGTAGGCGGCAGCCGCACCTTGAGGCCCGCTGGAGCTCCAACGTATCAGCAAGCTTATGCGGGGTTGATACCGCCGATCATGCCTTTATTCGGCTCCGGGCGCCCTTCCTGCAGATCGTCCGCCCCGCCGTGGAAGGTCACTGACCTATGCGTTCGCCTCGCGTATCTTATCTTATCAGCTTGGAGCTCTGATAACGATAAGACACCCCGAGCCCCTGGACTTCTTCATTGCGTTAGGCGTTCTTTCGCATTACCTACCTACCAAGAACATCAACTTTGTCAATCTCGTCATCATGGCTCTAGAATGTCCGAGTCTTCACATGCAACGCTAAACCCAAGGATGAGACACGCTCTCCATCTAGAATCGATATTAACCGCAAATGTATGGCTGCTGTTATCCTGTTGCATTCTCGATCGCGTTTTCCGTCGCGGGAGTCCCATCGGCCGTTTCCAAACAACCTCTATTCCCAACAAATGAAATGCTTCAAACAATGGGCATGGCCTGGGCCATCCCAGAAACGTACTAACTGAATCTACAGATGCAGTCTATCCTGAAAGGCTCTCTGAAATCAAGCGCCTTCCCCCGCGCCTACCAAGTACCCGGCCCCAAGTCCTGAGAGCTTCTTCTCGATCGATTCCCTAAGCGCTCATGCTGCTGTTCTCGTTCTGGATCTTTCCAAATTTTCTGTTCATCATCACGAGCTCGAGTCCGTTCTTGATGGGTGGCTCGCCGCGAAGCAAGAGACCGATCTCGCTCGGGTGGAACCAGTTCATCCACACCATGACGAGGAACATGAGCGTCGCGTCAAAGACGTAGACGTACGCTTCGTTGGTCATCAGGTGGCCCTTGTTGCCCTCCAGGTACTCGATGACTCTGAAGACACTACGCACCCAGATCAGAACGCTGGTGACGTAGAGCGTCAGGAGGTAGTAGCGCCAGCGGATCTCGGGCTGGTGAGACTTTGCGGTCGGAACAAGCAACATCCTGCGGTGGAAGAGGGCGGCCACGACGATGAAGAAGCCAAAGACGGCGAGCTGAATGAAGAGGCCGACGATGATGACCTTCTCGCCAATATCCATCATGCTTGCGCCGGACGCCATCATACCACCACCTGTACCACGCGCGTTAGTGATGGCCGACTACTACAGGTTGGCCAAAAAGGGCAAATGCACATACCACTGGACTGCATCAGGAGCGAAAGGACGTCTCCAGAAACGAAGACCTTGGTCAGAAAGCGTCTCTTGATCAAGGCATGGCTCTCTCCGTCGGTCAACATGATGATGCGACCTAGGATCATGTAGATGGAGGCTGCCATGAGGGCCGGAGCGATGAGGAGAAGGACATTCTGGATGATGTAGGGGCCGAGAGTCCAGCATCCGGGCTCTTGTGTCGTGTTTTGCGCTCTTGCAGCGTATCCAACCACTTCACCTGTGCGGAGAATGGTGTAAGCTCATGATCAGGCCATAGGCAAGGGACGGACATGATGTTCTCTTCAGAGCACTTACACAGTCCACCGATGACGAAGGCCGTCATGTACCATGTCTTGGTTCTGATGAGTTGGAAGATGTGAAGACCAGTAGTGAGAACAAAGACGACGCAGAAGAACACCGCCGCTGCTGTGGAAGGCTCGAAACGGTAGAACGACCATTCGGCGTTGACATAGTCGGGGGTACAGCCTCGTGCCATGTTTGCGATCGTGGCACTTTACGAGAACGAGATGGAGAGGAGCCTTTCGATTGTTGACTATGGATCGATAGAAGTACAGCAGCTGGCCGTTCAAGGAAAAGAGGGTCGGGGAAGATCCAGATGAAATCGAAAGGAGCGTTCCTGGGACTTCGATGCAGGCTGTTCCGCTCGCTGAGTGTCGTTCTAGGTAAAGAAGGTATGATGATGGGACTATCTCAAGGTTCAAGGCAGCGAAATGGATTATGCTTATGTGCTTTTCGCTTTAGGACGGCAATGGTCCACGTTGTGTGGTTCATCCAATAAACAAATCGGTTCAATCGTATTCCACCCCCTTAGACTCAGCCACGCAAAAGATACCAGTACAGCTCACAAACGGCAAGTTAGAAGGACCCTTGGCGCACCGTTCGCCAATCTTAGGATCTACCGGCCAGTAGTGCTTCTGTATTCTGTCTGCCTGGGATGCGAGTATCACTGCGCCCCTCTCTGCGTCCCGAGCGTTTGTCTCTCCTCAGTCAAATCTGCTGGAAGGAATTCTCGAAGAAATTTGGACAGTGGGCTTGACCCGGCCGTACAAAGACGTATTGAGTACGGGACCAATCACGATTGTCCCAGTACGACTTGGCGTCCCTACCGGGCGCAGGGGCTGACGAAAGACGCCGGGATCCGGACGCTTTTGGGCACCCGGGAACGGTGGGCCGTGCATGTCAAGCGCCGGAAGATCCACTTTACTAAGGAGCGGGGCTCCGCAATTGCGAGTATTCGCATTGCTCGCTTCGTATTCCCGCATCTCTGCTTCGCAACCACATCGAACTCTGACTGACAACTGTAAAGCCGTCGGCTGGCGGATTACCCCGTGTCCACAATCTTCCATCAACCTTCTTTATTCTTATTCTCTATGGCCAAAACCCGCGTGTTCGTACTCTCTCCTGTCTCTCCCTTCTGCACGCTTGATTTGACTGAGGTGCTGTCTGCGTTTTATGTAGTCGGTTCCAGTCTGAACAAACTTCTGTAGGCGTGAGATCCGCTCGCACCCTCGTACACCCACCCATCACAAAGACCTAAGGTATTGTCACCTTACACGCGGAAATTTTCTTGCATCAACATAGGATCTGAGACGGAACGGCCATCCCTCGTCCGTTGCCCAATCTTCCGATCCAATGGCAACCCGTCGTTCCCATACCAAGTCCCGCACTGGCTGTAGGGACTGTAAGCGGAGGAAAGTCAAGGTAGGTGACACACTGACAGCCCTCCCTCCCTCATCTACCTACCCTAACTTGGCTGCCGCGTACCGAACACGCGGTAAGGGGTTTAGATTTGGACCCAATCAACCTAGCCTCCAATCAGATAAGGACGTCCCTTCATCTGTGGTCCGTTTGCTGATAGCTTGAACTTACCCAGTGCGATGAAGCATACCCGTCCTGCTTCAACTGCTCAAGACACGGCATCCCATGCAGTCTCTCAACATCACAGACCTCACCAGCAAACATCACCCCCCAAAGATCAACAACAACACCATCTGTCAACGGCCTCAGCCCAGAAGCACCATACAACTTCCTAGACGCCGCCATCGACCATGACAGGCTCCATTCTCCCGCTCCGTCCATCGGACACTGGGGCCACGGCCTGGAGTTGATGCACCACTTCACGCTTGTCACCGCAAACAGCCTCTCCGTCCGCCCGGATATGCAACACGTCTGGCGCGTCACCATGCCGGAAATCGGCTACGACTGCCCCTTTGTCATGCACGGCATTCTCACCATCGCGGCGCTGCACAAGGCGTATTTGATACCCTCGGCGCGGGACAAGTACCTCGAACTCGCGACGTCACATCAGACTGCAGGCCTCGAGGGCTTCCGAACGCAGCTTCACACCGTTAACGACACAAACTGGAAGCCATTCTTCTGCTTCGCGTCGCTCGTCGTCTTCTACGTCGCTTCGTTGCCCGTGCTGATGGGGCAGGACCTCGACTCCGAGCCGGATATCATGGGTGTCTTCATCTTTGTGCGAGGGATTCGTGCGATCCTCGAACCATATCAGACAAAAATTGTAAGGACGGAATTTGCGCCAATGGCGACAGGAATATGGACCATTGACCCGAGTGATCCATCATATAAGTGCGTCGACACCCGCCATCAAGAAATTCTTATTCCCAAGACTGACAGACTAAACAGGCTCCCACCCCTCCACAACTCCCCACTCCCACCCGACGTCTTCGAAGCAATCCAAGGCCTCTTAGACTTTTACACAGAAAACCTCCACGACAGCGCGCGCGAAGAGTACGTGACAGCCGTGCGCGAGCTCGAAAAAGCAGTCTACCTCATGGCGCATGCCGGCGCCAACCTCGAGGTCGGCATGATTCTCTTCTGGCCGTACGTCATCTCGGAGAACATCATGGCCGACATACACGCCCTGAACCCGTACAGCCTGGTCCTGCTGGCGTACTTTTCCGTGTTCTTGTGTGTGCTCGAGCCGACGTTTTGGTTCCTTCGGGGGTGGTCGAAGAGGTTGTTTGCTATGGTTGATGCGCAGTTGGCGGGACATCCTGTGTTGTTGGAGGCTGTGAGGTGGCCTCGGAAGCAGGTGTATGAGTTTTATGCGCATATTTGACTGAGTATTCCCATCAGTTGTAAATATGTCGAATCAGGGGAAGCCGAAGCTTCCACGAAGTTTGACGACGATCCACTACCCTACCTCAATGTCTTGATGCGAATGAAATGGCTTGAATCAATTTTCGATAGCTTGACCATCTTCCTGGTAGCACTAAT